GTTCAGTGGTCAGAGTAGAGAAGTCTTGGGGAAACCCTGCTGCTAACTTGTGTGACTTGGGGCAAGTCACTTAATGTCTATGAGCCTTTGCTGCTCAATCTGTGTGCTGGGGACATTACCAGCTCCTTTGGCAAAGTGCACTGAGATCCTTGGATTGAGAGCCCTGGATTGCAGGAATGCGCTCTGCTTGGGGTCCGCATTTCAGTCCCGTTCAAAAACATCAGCCAGTATCATAGGGTTAGACGGGACCGCAAGGGTCATCTAGCTAGTCTAACCCCCTGCCAAGATGCAGGATTTGTTGTGTCTAAAAATATATAGAGTGCAGCTGCCCAGCTTACATAGCAGTTTAATGGTGGCGCATAATACACCTGTGCTTTGTAATCTGCAAGGGCTTCCCGCTCAGTTCTGGGTGAAATTCAAGAAGCTGACTTTGCTTTATAAAGGTCTAAACTGGGTTTCCCCTCATGTTGCGGCCCCACCCGCTGTGGGGGAAGACCCTCTGTCTAGAATTTCCCCTGACTTGATCTAAAAGAGTGCGGATTTGCTGATGTTCCAGGCACCTTGAGAAGCCTATTCGTTCAGGCTCTTCCTACGGGCCAGAGGGTAAAAGAGGAAGGTTCTTTTTTGTTTTGTTTTGTTTTTTGCTGCAGGGAGGGCGGAGGACGAATCCGCTCGTGGTGTTGGCATTTTGTCAGCGTGATGTTTTTTTCTCCCTCCTCTGTTAGTATGTGTTCAAAACGCACTTAGCGAGAGCACTAGGTGCACAATGTAAAACTGAAAGCATTTCAGAGTGGTCGTCCGGGATCTTCAATGTATCAGTCCTTGGAACTGTTGTGAGTTGCTGTTTCTTTCATGTGAATGCAAGGGTTTGCGGATTGCCACAGTGTGAACTTGTGAAGTCTGACTGTCCAGCTGTTTGGCGCTTATGGTGTTTCCTTGGTTAGCACTGAAGGTGTCAGCGTTTTGAATCAGAGTCTCCCACCCACACATGTAGGTTTCAACTTCTCCTGCATCCTGCAGTGAGTCTGGTGTTGACCTCAGTCCTTTCTAGCGCTGTAAAAGGTCATGACAGACCCAGACTGAAGGAGGTTATAGAACAATACAGCTTCAATTGCTTGAATGTAGTAACTGACTTCAGACGGGGTTAGAACTAGACTTCAGATTGGGCTGTAATGGGTGATAAGGAGAGGCATGGATCCTGTTGGCAGAGATAATAGTCTGGGATAGTTGGGGGCGGTGCTTGCACGCCTCCGCCTAGGAGCCGGATCTGCTGGTGACTTCCAGGGCGCAACGCGGTCCGCGGTGCCAGGAGAGGCGGGAAGCCTGCCTCTGCACCCCAGCTGCGCCGCTGACCGGGAGCTGCCGGAGGTAAGTCTGCGCCCCAATCCCCTGCCCCAACCCTGACCCCCCCCCAAACCCGGAGCCCCTTCCTGCACTCCAACCCCCCAGCCCCACCCCAGAGTCCACACCCCCAGCCCAGAGCCCTGACCCCTTCCCACACCCCAACCCCTTGCCCCAGCCCAGAGCCCCCTCCCACACCCTGAACCCCTCATCCCCAGCTCCATTGGGTCACGGGCATCAGCAATTTTCTTCAACGGGTCACCAGAAAAAAAGTTTGAAAACCACTGCTCTAAATGGATGTCTCTGATGATTAGCAGAAACAGCCAGGGAAGTTCTGGAAACCCACACGAAAGGCAATTAGATTCATGCTTATGATACACTGGCAAAAAAATAGGTGTCCTCTAGGAGAAGTCCTTCTTTAAACACTGCTGCTTTCCTCTGCGGGGGGGACAGTGGTTCATCTGGTCCCTCCCCTGTGTAAACAGTGGTTGATGATGTATGAAGCGGTCTCTGCTGGCTTGAATTGGGGGAGCCACAGTTACAACTTCCCAGACACATTCTCTGGAGCTCCACTCCCCTGGGTTGTGTCTCATCCATTGTTCCTGTGTTTTACACCATGTGGTCTGTGTGACGGGGCTGGGGAATTCAGTTGTCTGGCCAAAGTCCCAGCTCCCTCCTCTTCTGCCCCATACCAGCTAGCTCAGGAGTGTCCTGCTTCTCTCTTAGGGCTGGCCTAAGGTCGACATAGCTACATCGGTCAGGGATGGAGAAAATCCACCCCCTGATCAGTGTCGCTATTCCAACCTAACCCCCCTTGTAGACACAGGTAGGTTGATGGACGAATGCTTCTGTCAACCTAGCTACCATTGCTCAAGGAGGTAAAGTTACTACACTGACAGAAAACCCCTCTGTGTACGTTACGTCTCCATGATGGAGTTAAGCCACCATAACCACGGCGATGTAGCTGTGCTGGTACAGTCTCCGTACTGTAGACGTACTCTGAGTGGCGTCTCTTTGGGAAGAGAGGCAGGAGCATACTTGCCTTAAGGGGCAAGGACAGGCAGTGCCCTCCTGGGGGATGGGTGCGGCGCTTTATGGCCATGGGAAGGGAGGTGCCTTCTTGGCAAATGCAAGAAGCGGGTGGGCCTAACCGGAAAGCTGTCACACTGAAAAGGGGAACCCCTGGTTTTCCGGCGCAGTGAAAGAGAATGACTTTGCAAAAGGAACCCTTTGTCTGACTAGCTTGCCTGGGCTGAGCCGTGGGATGGTTGCTGTCAAGCTGGTTTGGGTCTTAAGTGCATGGGTGTGTCATGGAGTAGAGGGGAGATAACTGGCCTTTGACAGGTTTCAGAGTAGCAGCCGTGTTAGTCTGTATCCGCAAAAATAACAGGAGTACTTGTGGCACCTTAGAGACTAACAAATTTATTAGAGCATAAGCTTTCGTGGGCTACAACCCACTTCTTCGGATGCATATAGAGTGAAATATATTGAGGAGATATATATACACACATACAGAGAGCATGCTGAGCCATTACAAACATTGAATCTATCTCCCCTTGTAAGTATTCTCACACTTGCTTCTTATCAAACTGTCTGTACTGGGCTATCTTGATTATCACTTCAAAAAGTTTTTTTTCTCTTACTTAATTGGCCTCTCAGAGTTGGTAAGACAACTCCCACCTGTTCATGCTCTCTGTATGTGTGTATATATATCTCCTCAATATATTTCACTCTATATGCATCCGAAGAAGTGGGTTGTAGCCCACGAAAGCTTATGCTCTAATAAATTTGTTAGTCTCTAAGGTGCCACAAGTACTCCTGTTATTTTAACTGGCCTTTGGGCTCCCTCGCCCCTTTTTGAGGCTGAAGAAAACAGCTGGCGGTAGGCCTTGCACTTGACTGATAACCCGGTGATGCTTGCGCTGCGGGAGGTGCTCTCCAAACACAGGCATCTGGAGAATCAGCCCCGTTTTAATTTGGCTATGCAGATCAGGACACCCACTCCCCAGCACACTCCCACCCTGTTGATCTCATCGCTCAGGGGCCCCTACCCCAGAAAAACTAGAAATACCATGCCCCATGCGCTCTCCTGCTCACAAACCTCTGTGTCATCCACTTGAATTTGAATCCCGTTTTTGCCCGTTGTGCTGTGGGATTGCTTCTTCCCAGTATTAACTGAAAAAATGGGGTTTGGTTGGTGCTGGCATTTCAGGGTCTCCCTCTGGGTATGCCTCCCCCCTCTGGAAAATGCTGGAATTGGTGACATCAGCAGAGTAGGGGAAGCCCAAGCGTGGCAATCTCAAATCAGTTTTCACTCTGCTTCAGTCTTGGGTTAACACTCTGGGTGCAGGGCTCTCAGCCGGTGACAGTGTGGAGCATTTCATTGAAAAAAGGAAACTGAGGTTGTGTTTCTGATTGTGTTTTTCTTTGTGAGTCAGTCTTGGCCAGAAAACCCTAAAGAACCAACCTTACTTTGTGTGTAAAGCGGGAATGGCTCCTCCTTGGTTATACACAGGTAACAATTTGTAACTCAGCACTCAAATCAGTCTGGGATGAATCAGAAAGTGACGGCCCTTTGCGTAGGCTGAGAACAAAGTTCTTTCACTTTTGTTGGTAACGGGGGCTTTACGTGAGAGACCCTTGATTCATGACTGCAGCTTAGAGTGACAGAAGGTTAGAAGCAGTATCGCACGCCTAGCTGTTAGGTGTGCTGCTTGTGGAAGGGACAAGCAATGTATAAGTGATGTATAAGGTATGTTCGGGCTGAAAATTTGGCTCTTACAAGTTACCCTGGCTTGTTACTGGGAAAGTGGCCATGTGACTACCAGAGACCTGTGCTGATCATTCAATAATGCCCATTCCAGGAGAGGAAAATCAACATATCATTAACCCTGTTAATACTGGTGCATCCTCAGCAGCTGTAGTAAATCCATTTCACCAGCAGGAATGCCAGGACATTCCAGGTATTTCCAGCAAGCACTAAACTTGTGCGTCTGTGGGTCAGATCAGGTGGGGGCAACTTCTCGATTGTTCTTGGTTTCCAGTGGTTGGGGGTATTAAGCTCTCAGGCATAACACCTTGCTTTTAGCTTAAATGGGCAACTCTTGGGAAGTTGCTTGTGTATCACAGGATGTTGTTATCTCAGAGTATCTGTCTTTATAGTTATGCCCATAGCTGGCTATGCAGTGACAGTCTGTGTCAGACATGGGAGCACAAACTTCAGCCTTCCGAGGCGCTTGAAGTGGGAAGAAAAGATGATTGTGAGATGCTAGTGGAGTAAGTTTTGCACCATTCCTGTCCTTGATTTTGATCAGCGCTGTTTTTTTTAACATAATCCTTCCTAGGAAAAGCGAAAACTCAGGCAGTAATTCCATCGGGGTATATATCTTTCCACTCCCCAGTTAAACATTTGTCTAGTAAATGTATGAAACACAAGCTCTGAGTTTCCTGGACCACGTCAACACAGATGGGAGCAATCCGGGGACGGGCCTGTCAGCTTTCACTCTGAACAGGAAGGCTCACCGGAGAGGAGAACTCATTGATGGTGCTTTCCCAAAAAAGGTCTGAACTCTTCATTTGATTCTGCCACTTCCCTTGCCACTCCCTTTCCTGTTAGAGGAGGTACTCAGTTTTTTATTCCTTTCTTCAGATCTGCAAGTCTGTTTAAATGCTTCACGTAAACTGAGATGCTGTATCAGGAACTATAGCTGGGCTGCTGCTGGAGGGGCACGCAGAATGGCTAGATTGAAGGTTTCCATCCACAGAACAGGTACGGCAGTGATACAGGCGGCTGCTTTGCTGAATTGATTCAAAACACCCGCCAGAGTCTCTGGTCTGGGCGAGCTGTGCTCAGCACGGGATCAGAGAGGAGCGGGGGAAGGTAGCTTTACGTCCTCTTTGCAGCTCCCCACCCCGTCTAACATAATTTAGAGCAGTGACAGGCCTGCTCTCTTGTTCTTAGCTGTATGTGACGTGTGTGTGTGTGTGTGTGTGTGTGTTGTTTAATAAGACTGGGACTTTTCAGCTTGGGAAAGAGACGGCTAAGGGGGGATATGATAGAGGTCTATAAAATCATGACTGGTGTGGAGAAAGTAAATAAGGAAGTGTTATTTACTCCTCATAACACAAGAACCAGGAGAATTTCACCCAATGAAATTAATAGGCAGCAGGTTTAAAACAAACCAAAGGAAGTATTTCTTCACACAATGCACTGTCAACCTGTGGAACTCTCTGTGAGAGACTGTTGTGAAGGCCAAGATTGTAACGAGTTGAAAAAGAATCGGATAAATTCATGGAGCAGGGGTGCTGCTTTAGCATGTGTGCTAAAGGCCGCGGGTATGCCTGGTGTCGTAGGTCCCCAGCTGGTGTTGGGGCGGCCGGCTGGCCTCCGAGGTCCAGGGGCGGCAGCCCACGCGGCGGGGGTCCAGGGGAGGGGTCTGGGCTGCCACTGCCCTGCCACCCGGCCCCTGCAGCCCAGGTTACACATTGCAGGCCGCATATGTGGCCTGCAATGTGTAATATGTTGAGAACCACTGTCATGGAGGATAGGTCTATCAATTGGCTATTAGCCAGGATGGGCAGGGATGGTGTCCCTCTGTTTGTCGGAAGCTGGGAATGAGTGACAGGGGATGGATTGCTTGATGATTATCTGTTCTGTTCATTCCCTCTGGGGCACCTGGCATTGGCCACTGTTGGAAGACAGGCTAGATGGACCTTTGGTCTGACCCAATATGGCCGTTCTTATGTCATGACTATGTTGGGAGGTGGCTCTGGATGACTGAGATTTAAAGGGGCAGCCCTCAAGAAGCCAACTTCCCAGCTGCTTTGCACAAAGAGACTGAGAATCAGACCTAACCATCTCTAGCAACAAGGAGGGTGCAAATCACTCTCTGTGCCCATCCAAATCTTGGTGCCTCCAAAGCTGTCAAGCTGATTTCAGATAGAGCATGGAGCAGCTAGCATCTTGTAATGACTTGCACTCAGAACTCAACTGGGGCTGAGGTTTGAACCAACAACCTGGGGAGGGGGGAAGGGCTGTTTGATATCATGACTGCTCTTTGGAAGCACCCAGTTCCTCGTTTAGAATTAAGTGCGCTCTCTCTCGTCTCGTGCAGTACTGCAGGAGCCCGGGATGTGCAGGACTCGCTCTTAAAAGATCACTTTATTAGAGATTTCCCATGTGATAACTCCCCATATGGCCTGTGCTCATGTGAAATCCCTGCCTGGCAGATAAAGTCAGCCCAAAACTTTTCAACTCGGCCACCTCTCGGTTCCCTCTTGGTAACCCCCTAAGTTCTCATACTCTCTCTCTTCATGTGACACCCGAAGGTGATACTTCGGTCTGCTTCTATACTAAGTGTAGTTCCTCCCTTCCTACTTAACTTGGTGGACTGATTGTTAGTCTCTATCGATCCAGGATTGTGAACGTTGTAGATAGCAACTGTGTGCTCTTTGGTACCGATCTAGGAGCCCACCCCAAGCCATAAAATATAGATGGAGGGTGTGTGGGTGCCATATTAAGTTTATTTCAGTCTACAGTTATCACCTTTGTCATTTTCTCTGGGACAAACTGATGTCATGACTGCACTGACGCCTTGCCGAGTGATGTTTCTGTGATCAGAACATCAGTGGGTTGTAAAATAATGGTGACTTTGGAGGCAAATTTGCATCCTGCCAATGGTGTTTGTAGCTATATCCTGTTAAACAGGACAAACAGATCATCGAACGGACATACTCCCAACTTGGGACACCTGACTTAGCGATAGTCTGCTATGTGAATTTACAGGAAAACGCTCTGTGGAAAGGCAGAACTCTGTTCTCGTTTATCTGCTTCTAGTTAAAAAAAAAATACACAGCTTTTCTATACAGTTTTTTTTCTCTGTATTGTTCAAAAGTACAATTTTCTCTCCTGATGAAATTGAAATTAACATGGCTTTTGTCTGTCTGTGTCTGTGCCCCAGACTCTTCTGTCTTAGATAGAGGTAGGAGTGCGCACACATGTGGCATCAGTGTTCATTGTTTGGGAAGCTCACACATTGTATTTGTATCCCAGGGAAAACTGTGGTTCTTGGGGAGGAATAGTATTTCTCAGTGGTAGCGGTCAACTTTGAATTTTTAAATTGTAAAGACCTGACCTCTCTAGGCTTTAAAAATGGTGAGGGGTCAGTGTCAAGGTCCCGTGTGCACCCAGACTTTATTAAAAACATTTTCCACCTATGACCCCTTTATTCCCTTTTATTACTGATGACCAAGACACGTGTATTTTGAGATGCAGACCCAGATGTCCCAGTTCAGGTGCACAGTTGCTGTGACTACCAATGCAGAATGTGCAGTTGTTCATACAAAATGTATCTAACTAGCCACTTGGCTGCACACTTATGTCACTTTGCAAATGTATGTGTGGTAACAGCTCACCCAAATTCAGCATGCAGTTGTATGCGTGCCTTGCAAAGACGGTTACATGCCCAAGTCCCACGCTGTTATGTTTTAAATGTACTTTGTACACCCAGAGCGGTGGGCGGGGGCACCCTTTGGTGTGGACTTTTGAAGACCAAAACCGAAACTCATAAACTCCTGAAAATCTGTTCCAGAAACATGCAGACATGCACACGCTCTCCTTCTCCTCTTCACACTTCAGAATTTCTGGCATCAGAACTGGGCCCTCAGCAGTGAATTCTGATGCTCACAGTCACTAGATTCTGACATCCCTGAGACCGGGGGACCATGGCAAAGCAAGGGTATGAGAGGCAGAAGTGGTGCTTTACAGACACACAGCTGGGTACCTAGCACTGCTGGGAGAAGGCTAGTTATGTTGGGCTTTGGGAAGCTTTGTCAGAAATGAGCAAGGGCCCCTTTAAGGGAGGTTTTATTCTGTCTGCTTGGGAAATCTCCCTTGTTCAAGTCTTCCTCTTTTCAGAATTATCTCTCTCTGTCTCTTGCCCACAGTCTTCCCTCTCCTAGGCTCTTGAGACAAAGTATTTCAACTCCAACTGCTGGCATCAGCTATCCTAGCTGAACTTCCTTCTGTGTGCTGTAGTGTGGCCTCTCTCTATGAATTGCACTAGTGTCTCTATGCACTGCTTAATATTGTGCCTTTTGCCAGCTCTGTGTAATACGTCCACAAACACCCTGTAAAATATGTGCCGGCAATTGCTGTGAGAGGAGTTAACGCTCCAGCTGCATTGCAAAGCAAGATCCCTCCCTTCCCCTCCGACCCCCCACCAGTCAGGGACTATACACTAGGGTACACCGATCGACATTGCAGCCTGCTCCATGGGATTCCAGATGCCACACCGCTACCCTTCCAAATTCCATGTGATGGGGACAGGAGGGAATCTGGTTTGTTACTATGTGACCTGACATGGGTAGTCCTCCTCCAGGCCTTCTTCATCCCCGAATTTCCCCCTATCTTTATGTCCCATGCCATTCCCAGCGGCCATTATTCTTCTGCCCCGGGTGGGACTGTAGCAGGGCTCCGCTGAGAGCAAGTCAGTGCTGCCTCCGCAGGTGGCTTGAGGGGTTTCTTCTGAGCCGCCTAACGAAAGCAAATAGTCATCTTCTGCCCTCCATGTGCAACACAGTCTGACACAGGTCTGGAAAGAGTCTTGCGTGGGTGTGAGCATTGCACAGGGCCTCCAAGCGAGCTCTGTACACCTGCCTCGTTGTACGAGCGTATGGGCTCCCCGATGCCCACGGAGGGGTTCCCAAAGACTTGTGCTCCCTTGCGGATTACTCTATTACAAACTGACCCGTTCGCTCCTGCACCTGCTGTGATTTTCTAGGAACGTGGGGGTCTTGCATGTGAATGTTTTGCCAACAGCCCACCCTGTCGGCACGCGAGAGTAAAGCTAGTCCAAAACTCCCCACCAAACCCTCCGCTCGCCCCGCCTGTGTTGGTGAAAGACCGTTGAAATCTTTTGACCAGCCCTGCTAGACGGAGCCATCCACCAGGCAATAGACTCACATATTTGTAGGCTGTAGCTTGTACATCGTGCAGCACAGAAGGGGTTAAATATACCATGACTCTCCTGCTAAAAAAGTCCCTAATGCTTTTTCAGTGTCTCTAAGACACTTTCCTCTTGGCTCTCCTCAGCATCGTTGTTTCTCAGTATCCCCAGGCCCTTCTCCACCCCATGTCGTCTAGTCAGGAAGCTCAGTTTTGAGTCCTACGATCCGACGGGTTTAGAACTGGCCTGAGCTGATCCTCGTTTTACTGCACTAGCCCATGTACCTGTTCGGATATCAGCAAAGACAAAGCTTATCCTCCGGAAAACGCTCGCTTGCCATTAGACCACTGATATGCCCAGACCTAATCGGTCTGACCAGCGTTGTCTCTCTGTTTCTTTGTACTCCCTCCCTCTGTCTGTATCCCTCTGTCGTCTCTTCGCTTCTACCTGGGTTGTAAACTCCTTGGGGCAGGGGCCACCTTTTTGTTCTGGGTTTGTACAGCGCCTAGCACAATGGGCCGTAATAGGGTTCCTGTGTGGCCACTGCAGTACTAATCATACTAAATGTATGTGAGTTCTAAAAGTATGGACCTCCTAGTGGAAGAGTTGCACTCACCGTAGGCGTGCTCCCTCGTGGCTGAGTGGAGCGTGGCAGCTCTTCCGTCTCTAGCGCCCCCTGCCGATGCTCATGGCGGTCCAGCATTAGTCTGTCTCTTGTTGCGACTCGACCTTTTTAGCCAACACACGTTCTAATCCGACTTCTTCCAGGGTAACAAAGTCCAGAGTCCTTCCATCAGGGTTTTGTTCCTGACTCTGGGCCCTG